GTTTTGTGTAAACTGCTGCATTCCATTTGATTAAGCATTTAATAGCAATACTATTCTTTCTCCCTCTTAATGCGCCGTTTACACTCCAAAGATTAAATGAGAGCAGACAAAATTAAGAGTCTACTCTGTTGCTACATGGAAACACTCGCTCCAGGTCACAATTTGTGCCCTTCTAATGGAACCTTTCTTGCAGTCCATTTATCTCCATTCATTTGAAGGGAAAAAGGGGTACGTTGTATGATCTTGGGAAAAGCCACCACATGGCCTATTCGGCAGCCACTTGTGTCGATTTATTCCCTCTTGGTAATTGCCTTCTGATTTGCCGTAATCGTGGTCCAAACGACAACAACCGCCTTCCTCTCTCACCCCGTGTGTACATGATTACTGCGCTCCGTTTGGTGGAAAGTGGTTGACGCTCCATCTATCTTTAAGTGTGTGTGTGTGTATGTGTATGGAGGGTATTTTTAGATTTAATTGTAGTTTTGTATGTGTGTCATAATTCTCCCAACAAATGCTCCAACGATCGAGTCACTTTCAACTCCAACCCCTTCATTACAGAAATCAACAACGACCCAAGGATTACGCATTACAAACTCTTAAGGGCATTTAAACATTTGTTCAATGACACCTTCACAAATGTCAGCTAGTTCGTATTTTCTCCTTCCACTACACGACTGTGATACCTTAACGAATGCATCGTGTCTTCAAGAACAGTCCTACCATGGCGTTATTCACCTCTGGGGTTCCAGTTCACAGTGGCTAAACATTTGCATTCGATGAAGCACTTCTTTTGGATCGCCCACTTACAAATTACGTTAACGACAGTCCTTTATGCCAATGCAGGAGATGGCCTGTTTGATCTGGCCAAGTACCACCACCGCCATGACTTGTGATCGTTCCCTTCCACCCATAATTCAATTGCCCAAAGGCGACATTTGGCCAACGGACCAGCGTGGTGGTGCTGAAGCGCGCCTTTGGTGGTGGCTCAAATTGGTCAAATTCTGGCAACAAAACTTCTGCCCTTTAAAGCAGCTTCTAAGTGATGATTTCTTGCCTTGTTCTACCAAATCATCTTAACACTGCCACTGCCATTTCATTCACTACTTCTCATAACTATTGGCAGGGCTCAAAATAGCTTGACCTTAAGCGGAGTTATTGTCCTGTCCTTCTCATAATTCAACTTAAAAAACTTTACCTTAAAGTTTGTTACCACCATCTCTCACTAGTCCTAATTGTGAAAGAAATAACTTGTTTTCGGAAATGTGCACAAGCTGCAGGTTTTGAGGTGGCATACAAACAATACATCACTCGAAAACATCTCCATTCCACTGTTATTCAAAAAGATAACAGCAAATCTTCCTAATGGTACTATTGCAGCTTCCCAAAACTTCCATTCATGAAGTGGAAGATGTATTACTCAGACAGCACAAATTATCAAACTTTATTAGGGCTTTGTGAGGTTTTTACTGGGACGGCCTCAAGCTCTCGTCGTCCAATGTCCACCTAATCCGCACAATTAGCTAAACAAACAAGCACAGTGTCCCAACGCCGCTTTTGCTGTTAGCTGAAGCGCTTGAAGACGTCAGAGCAAGAAGGGTCAAAAATACATGGCTTTTGGAATTAATTGACACTGAGGAGATGGGAATGAAGTTTTCATGTTAGCATTCAATAATGACTTAGCTCTATTTACTTGCCGTTCTGTTACGGAATGAGAAAGTGTTTTTTTGCGTCCATTGGTGTGGGCGAGCTTACCTGAATGAGGAAAGAGGTGAATAGAAGTACGCCATCCACCTCATTCTTAACTTTCTGCGAAGAGCGGACAAAAAGCAGAATGTGCTTGTATTTGGATTGATTCAGTTAACCCATAGACTATGTTTACTTGAAGGGGGAGAAGCGTCTTATCGTTATGCTTTATCATTTAGCCCACCCACTTTGTCAAGAGTCAAACGTGAATTTTCTCCAACCCTCGACCAGTGGAAGAAGGGGAAGTGAATTATTGGTTCAACTAAGTCGCCTCTCTTGCTTCGTGATTCTCTACATTCCTTTGTAAACTCTTAGTTTTTTGTCAACCAGAGTTTTTCGAAAAGGAAGAATTGTCTTGAAAGCCCCCCTACTAGGAACTAATTTACTGTCAAATGTAATTTCGTGCGTTGGAGAAAAT